ATTAGTAAAAATATTTTCATAAATTTTTAGAGATTTTCAAAATGAATCCAACGGATGACTATTACTGTAACACAAGGATTACATCTGTGGACAGTTTTGGCTCAATCTTCGTGCTTTTGATTATCAACAAAATTATGATTTCATTGCTCTTATCATTGGCCGCAGAAATACATGCCCAGCAAAAGAAAGCCATTAATTCGTTGACTAAAATAGTCAGCGGTATATAAATTATATAAGTTTTGAGAATAAAATCTCAAACAACACTTGTTTCTAAATATTAGACCAAAAGCACAATTCTATATTTATTTTAATTAATAAAACTATTTTCTCAAATTAATTTAATGTTATTACAATTTACATTGTTAATATTGTCATAATTGGCGCTATTTCCATATGTTTGTCTTCTCCAGACTTCAATTGATTTGATTATCAAAATAAGTTTTTGTTCTAATAATCAACATTTTATTTGGTTAGCAATACTTTTCTAATTATTTTTAAAAGAAATTATAAAATTTATATAATTAGATAATTGAAAATAATTAACAATAATATATATATAATTTAATGCAACTAATTAACGGATTAAGTTTTAATCATAAGAGTAAATAACAAAAATTCAGATTATATTTTGTTACTAATAGTCTATAATTAATTGTCAGAATCTGATATATTTACAAATATTTAAAAATTTTAACAAAGTGTGGTTTAGGGAGTTTTGTTAATACAAACGCTAAGTTGATAATAACCGATAGAAGTGACAAAATAGTGTAACCATTTTAAAATTAGGTGTTTTATAAATTACAAAATAAACGACACATAATTAAAATAATAACGATTTGAAAGTGAAGTTTTATAGCATTAAGGGATAATTGTCACAAACGAAACATGTTGCCTATTTTTGAGCAAAAATAAATAATTGCATACTATTTATATTCGTTAGTAAAGTTATAGCGTATAAGTTATACACTTTTCTTTCTCATACGAGACAAATAATATAATAATTTAGTGTAAACTTAAAATAAATTTAGTCTCATTTGTAAAATTACTTGAAACGTGAAATTTTTCTTTATTAGGTCTCACATTATGATTATTATTATAGGTATATATATTTTACGGCTTTATTATTAGTAACAGTAAATACAGAGTAATTGTGGCGAAAATTGAATTCATAGCAAGACTTTGATTTCAATTAGTAATTAATGCATAAATTCATTGCACTTATTCACAGACGAGAGAGCATTTGGGGCTCAAATCTATACAAAGAGAGACTCAAAAACTCTCGACATATAATCATAAAAAACTTTGTTTCCAAAAAAGCGTTTCAAAAGGTGTTTTCATTCGTAACACTGAGAGTATAGCACTTCTTGCCTCCAATAATAGCTAATGTTAGCTAAATCTATGATTAATTCCTATTTCCAGGCCTCAGGCCTATCAGGTCTACCCCATCAACACTAAAAAAACAGTTATCATAATTCAATTTCATAATTCACTGATAGCACTCATTGTTAACATTTTTCATTAGAAATTTTTAATGATTTTATGATATTTTGTAATGTATTTTATTTAGTTTACTAAAAAATGAATGAATGAATGTATTTAAAACAAAAAACTTATCATTTGACATAAAAATGTTTTATTTACACAATAATTGAAATATAATTTTACAATTAAAATATAATAATAATAATAATTCGTTTATAAAACATACGAACCCTATCGACAACTTATTTTGGTAATAATTAATTATAAAATTAAAGTTGTGGTAAAAAACTATAGTTAAGTTACAGTGATCTTAAGTGGCCTCTGGAAATGTGGAGTAATCAATCTCAGCGTTGGGCTTATTTAGCGTATATGTCATCCAAATGAATGCATAACTTATCAAAAAACCTATCGTTCCTATCAATGAAAACAAGAGCACCGATAATACAAATGAGAAAAAGCAGTACAAGAGGGCGGAAATCAGATCATCGATTATGATTGTGGTTATAATGAAACAAAAGCAGTGAATAAAATAATAGACGGCAGCGAAACCGATGGTGAGATACGCTCTCCACCACCACATGTGGTTCTCATCCATTAGATTCACGAACGCAAACACTATAGACGTCTGAATACAGATCATAATCGATGCGCTGGTGATCACGAATTCACCGGAATTGAAAAATGGATAGTTTTCGACGATCCAAACCGACACAAACGGCACTAAACCGCCTAATAGTAGACTAATGGGTAGCATATTATAGATGCTTTGTTTTGGTATATCTCTAACGTTAGCCGTCGGCCGAATCGGGTATTCAATGGGCGACTGATAATTGTAGCCAAAGTAAGAGCCGGCAAAAGTTAATGGTAGCGCTAAACCAAAACTGATGAGCAGCACAAACACGGCTGGAGTGAAACCTATTGGGAATGCGAGTCCACTCGAAGACTCCATTAGCAGGAAGTTTCGGGTGAGGAATAGGATTGCGGTCAACATAATTGGATTCAGTGCTGCCGTCAACAGACAATTGTATTTCCAGTGTTGACCGCAAAAACTGCGGTAAAAGCGCGACGAAACGTAACCACCGATAGAGCCCACGAGTAATAACAATGAGATTGTTATTAAGACTATCAGTATTAAGGATGTGGAGAAATGGATGAGAAGTGTTAACACTTCAACCACTCCTAAACAGCATATGTATTGAACACCAGAACCTATTTTGAGAGAAAATAAAGAAAAATAATTAAATTTTTTTACTTATAATATTTTTATATTAATGCAAAAATGTTATTAAGTATGAAAAAAGAAGATCAAAAACTTGTTATTTAGTGAACCTTTAAATTGAAAACAACTTAAAACAATAATATTTCGTATTATTCAACACATATACAATTTTTTTGTAATCAATTTTTTAGACATTACCTAATATTTAATGCATTTTATATTAGACTCAAACAACTCATTCAGTGAAGCATTGAATTTGTGATTGCAATAATGGTTTAGTTAATTGTCTTAATAGTGATTTCTTGTATAACATTAGCATATAGTTTATATTTTAAAACTAAATATGCAAAAAGTAAAAGTGTGTATTAATATCCCAGCGCTTAATCACACGTGAATCTAGTACTACACTTCCTATATTGAAAAATGTACTTAAAATTCAATTTTCCTTAAATATTGTTTTTTCTTCCCATTTATGCCAAGAATTTTAATTTTATAAATAAATTTTTCTTTTATATCGGGAGAGAGAAAAAGCAATTAATTTCTGATTGGGAAGAAATTATTTATAATAAATTAACATTAATTGGAGTCTCTTATGAATATAATTTGCAAATATAATGTTTTTCAGCAAACATTATGAGAAAATACACATTTCTTTCGGTCATTCAATTCACTGAATCTCTCGTTTAATGTTTTTTTCTGATGTTTTTTATAAATGCATTCAAAAAGTGAACTGAAATTTATGTCACAAATCAAGAAAAGAGATTCAAGTCTTTCCGCGTTAGCCTTATTTCATAGGAGAGTTCAAACGTATTATATCTCAAAGCCCTTTGTCTTCGAGTGCTTATACTGTGTTTGAATTACATATCAATTATTAAAATATTTATATTAAATACCGATTAATGACGAGAATAGGAGCGGATATTTAGGGCTTCGGAAGACATCGTTGGCGATGCACTGCCAGCCGGCGTTTGGATTGGATAATGGCTTACTATTCATCCATCCAAACAACTCCTGCTTTGTTAACACAGTTCTCGACAAGACATACATGAGTGGAGCCGAGAGAACAATCACTAATAAGATAGCCGTCAGTATAAACCACTTCCCGGTATTGCTTTCGGGAAGTGATGTGAGTAATGAATTCCAGCGATTCTCAGCTCCCGTTGAATCGTCTCTAATAAAAGTGACGGAATAGGAGTAATAGATAGTGAAAGTGGAGGAATAGTTGAGTGAATTGGGTATTTCGAGGAGCGGAGAGTCGAGCGCACAGTTCTTGAAATTGGTCTTCTCGTGTCGGATACTTCTGGGCCTAACCTTAATCGCTGTAATCCGTCCCACTTTATCGCCAGAGCTGTCGCCCCACGGCTTCCCGATTCCGCTCTCGTATATGAATGTAAAGTCCAAATGATTGAAGAGATAGAAAGTGTCGGCTTTTGTGTCACTTCTTTTCTTAATTCGCGGATCGTTTGGATTTCCGTGAGAATCGACATAATAGCCGACCGGAACTCCAACGAAACACTCCAACGGGTTCTGACTATAACACCAGGACATGGGGTAGTTGTCGGCAAATATGTGCTGATAATACTGTTTATTCATCAACATTTTCAATACACTGATTCTGTGTATATCGAAGATTCGGCTCAAATCAAAGGGTCGTTTACAGAGAAGACGGCACTGTTCTTGGCGTTGGAAACGGATGTCATATGAGGTCCGGAATATTCTGTCGTCCCATTCGATGAAATCGGATTCTGTGTATTCGAAGCCTTCGATCGACGGACAAAAGTCAAACTGATTGTACGAATAGGGGACGTACGCCCGCTCCGAGTCCAGTGTATTCACATATATGGGCACCTGAGCCGTACAGTTGGCATCAGTATTGGTCCCATTGTCCGCCGCCGTCGTGTTCTTGTTGTCTTTGCAGTAAACCAATGGCTCGGTTGGGCTGTAGGGTTGCGGGTATTTGAACCATATGTTGTATTTGATAGAAATACAATTTCTGGCAAATAATACAATTAAGAAAAAGTGCAACAAAGGGCTGATTCTAGTCGTCGGTGTCATTGTCCTCATCAGTAGGTTATGTAAACACTGCCTATTCTTAAAACTTTTTTCAATGCACTTTTAGAGCACTCTTTTCTTTCTTCGCACAATAGTTTCACAGCAGAGAAAAAGTTTGTTTTATATGAAAATTATATGAATTAATTCACGTTAAACTCCAACACATAGTTTTATGCAAATTCAGACATACCTTTATTAATATATCAATTCTATAACTGAATTAAAAATATACAAATTATATTTTTATAAATTTCAATCACTTTTCATCGACAAAAGAAAAACTATATTCACTTTTTGCTACACATAATAATGAAGTAATAGCTTATAAATAGACATTGAATATAAACCACTGCCACCACCGCCTGAACCAGCAGTGAAATGAAAATGTTTGTGTGTCGGCTATAGGCTATGCAAACACCAACACAACAACACATAAAAAACTTATTATTTTAAATATAACTTTAAAAACTCGTCCGACAACTACTAAATCCAATTTCTATATATAATTCGTTAGAAACTATATTTAATTTACTTATATATAAAGTTATATAAACTTTAAATATTTGAATGAAATCAAGTACCCTATTGTGAAAGTCTTTATAGTTGAGTGAAATAAGTAATTTCACATCACTTATGATGCAAAATAAATCACTATTTTTATTGGATATAACTTTTTCTCGTTTTTGAAAAGAGTACACATAATTACAGTGTAATGTATTATATAATCATTTCTTTTGCATAAATATAATGTTGATATTTAGCGATGAATTTAACATTTTGTTTGCAAAAAACAAGCAATAAATAAATTATAGCTTTGGTATCAAAACAAAAAACTATTTAAGTAATGAATTTCTGTTAACTATTTGTTAGACAAACGTTAACTTTCTCGTGAATTAATCAACACTTGATTTTAGGATGAAATCATAAATTTTTGCATAATATTGAATGCAATTATGAATATAATATATTCAATAAATTATCCTTCATTCAATGGAAATGAATAATTTTTGAGAAAATTAATTTTAATAATAAAGATATTTTGAATCAAAAATATAATTTCATAATCAAAAGATCGTGAAATCATTAATTGCTTTGTGCTTTTAAAATACAGTGTATTCAATACTGTATTATACAGTATGTAGGGTTGTATCTAATGTAACTTACATATCTTACACACGCAATTTACAGTAAATTACAACCAAATTTAAATCTGACATGTAACTTACAAGGGACTACACTCTTAAGTCAAAAGTACTAATAATTAACCAAAATACTGCTTATTGTTTGCGAATAATTAATCATAGATGGGTAATTAAACGTTGCAAATACATGTGTCATTTTGTGGACGTATTGTCTGTTGGGCCCATTAGGTGGCCAAAACTAATTAGACATATAATGACATCTC